GAGGAGAGAGAGAGAGAGAGAGAGAGAGAGAGAGAGAGAGAGAGATATGAGCCACACAACCTTCCCTAATAAATAAAGTTCCGGATACGCACATTTGCTCCCTGTTGTCCATCATTGGTTTGCCGTAAAAAAAAGTGTGCGTTTACCTCGTTCAACGCAAGGTGTGATCAATATTATGCGATTTGCCGGGGCATGATCAGCCGTTATAATATTGTTTGGTTGTGGGACCATGTCGTGCTGGCCTATCGTTCTAGCTAGGGTTTTGAGAAAAGGAAAAAAACAACAAATGACGAGGTATAACGATTTCTTCTCTTCCTTTGGAACTGCGGGCTGTCTTCGTTGACAGTGTTTTATCTCTAATCATGTTCTCAATGTTTTACTGCTTGTTCTATTTAGGCTGGTATTGCTGTTCTTTGTTGCTGTTTGTTGCCGTTGTTTGTTTCTGTCTGTTGCCACTGTAGCAAAGTGTTGATGGTAAAATGGCTGTCGTCGTCACTGGTATTTCTATTGCTGTTTTTGTTTTGTTGCTCTTCATACGTATCGTGGCTCAAATCCAGTTTCTGTTTCTGATACCAGCGTTTTTGTCGCGGTAGTGTATTCTTTCATGGTGTTTCTGATAGCATTGTCATTAACTTTACTTTTCCTCTTTAGATCATATCTAGACCGAAGAATTAGATCTAGTTCTTGCATAGTTTGTTTTGAATGTACACTCGTCGCTTACCTTGTTTAATAAGACAGCTTTTGAGTATGAATGCCTGTTTATGTGTGAAACTTGGCTTAAAAAACAACATTTGCGAATACACAAGCAAACGCAATATTCAAATAAGGCTGCTGATTTGACTGAATTTTGGCGTTTGATTGAAGGGTACCATGGGTAAGTCCTACGTCTTTCCTTTTCTCCTTTCGTTATTGTATGCTCAATCCCTGCACTAATAATTTTATTATGTCGAGGTGCTTCTCTTTGATAATAATTAATACAGACTGTTCTTGTGTGGGTCGGGTGTTTTCTTGAGAATCCAGACGCCCTCTTTCTCTGTCGTTCTAGATTATTAATGTTTCTTTTTATGCGTGCACTCCTCTTTTGCTCGTGAGTATATTATAAAGATTGATTCAAGAACTCGCTCTAGTTAATCAGTCCGTGTTGCCATGCCCAGTGAATAGATAATTTCCTCTTTCGTTTTGAATTATTACATTACGATCCTAAAATAACAAAACAACAGGTAGTAATATAATGTGAAGCGAAAATAAAGGTAATTATACGAAGCCTTACGATAATTTGCGTCCTTGATTCCTCTTGTAAATACAATTATTCGAGCCTGGTACTCGTCAGGAAGTGACATTAATTGTTGGATAACGTTGTTGGTCCCAGAGAATATGTGCCCACTTCCCCTCTCTCTCTCTCTCTCTCTCTCTCTC